TTTGCATGTGGGAGCCAGGTCCAGCACAGCATCAGGTTAGCTGCTGTCCATTAGTCCTCGTGTGTGGGCGAATGCAGGGGAACGGGAGCAAAGGAGCCCACAAGCCCAGAGTCACGTGAGTCCCAAGAGATCCAAGAGCACAAGAGAGCAAACTCCTTTGTTGAGGGGGTTATATACCCTAAATCTTCAGACCCCCCGGTGTGATTGACAGCAAACACCTTCTTTAGTCCTCCCAGCTTTACTGGGCATTCGTCTGTCTTCCTTTTGTCCAGTCTCCTTCCCCCAGTGTTTTGCAGGGAACTTACCTATGTCTGGCCTTCCCTTTGCTCCTTTCCTGTTACTAATAACTGGTTGGTTACAACGGTATCAAGCCCACTTGCTCTGTTTTGTCGTTGCTGTTGTGGCCCAGTGGACTTGCGTGGAGTAGCAGAGACCCACCAGATCGCACGTGGGCATGTAAACCTGGAGAGGGACCGGAACAACATTCTGTGGCATTTTCCCCTTTAACCACAGGGGAAAGTGCATGTATTTATAAAGTGAAAACCAACATCCTCTCTCATTTTCTGCCCGGGAAAGATCATCACTTCTGTGCTTTCCTGGAAGGTAAACAAGCCTGCCGGGCAGGGGTGAATGTCCTGCCGGGACACCAGCTGTTTTCCGGGCTGGGTTCCAGGCCGGAGTCCACCAGTGTCTCTTGTCCAAGCTGCCAGCCTGCAGGCGCCCCTGGAGCATGGGAACTGGCTCCTCCCTCAAGTGATACGAGCGGGCTTTCTTCTAGAAAGGAAAGAACGTCTTTTCAGGGGACAAGACTCTGGTTGAAGGCCAGTTGCTGGGGTCAGAGGGGACATGGGCCCAGCCGGAAATTAGGCATTAATTAAGGAGGAGGGCAGAGCTTTTCTGAAGTCTTACGGTTACTTCCATTGCACAAGGCTTGTCTAGAGGCCAGTGACATGCTAGGCTGTGTCAGAGTAGGAGAGACAGACTTGGGATGTGGCATTTGACCTGGACACGCACAGGGAGACCACCCTAGGACAGGTGCCTGAGTGTGGAACCGAACACTGAGTTATGAAGGAAAAGGCTACCCCCACCCCAGTTCTCCTTCTTCCTGATTACAAGAAAGGCTGGATGTAACTGCAGTTAGCAGACTTTTAACACGTCCTAATTTCTGTTTTGAATGGGTCAGCTTCAGGTCCAGAGCCTTTAGTTTATTCTTAAAATAAATTTACATAGCCCAGTTGAGCATCGACCTATGAACCAGGAGGTCATGGTTCGATTCCCGGTCAGGGCACATGCCTCGGGTTTTGGGCTTGATCCCGTGTAGGGAGCATGCCGGAGGCAGCCAATCAATGATTCTCTCTCATCATTGACGTTTCTATCTTTCTCTCCCTTCCTCTCGGAAATCAATAAAAACATATTAAAATATAAATTTTCATAAACATATCCCCCCAAGAGATAAACCAAAGAACTTATTACTTATATGTATCGCCAATGGACACGGGCAATAGGGTAGGGAAGATCTGGGGGTGGGGGGTAGGGGCTGGGAGGAAGGGAGTTAACAGAGGGGGGGGGCAGAATTGGAGTTATCTGTAATACTATCAACAATAAAAATATATTTAAAAAATGCCCCCCCCCCACAATATTACATATATAACAGGGGTGGCAGATGGCAAAAATCCTAAAGTCCAGGCACCTTTGCCATAGAAAGTGAGCAGTTCTGATGCTGAGGGTTATGGAGGAACTGGTTGAGAGAAGACCCTTGGAGCCAGGCCTAACCCTTTCAGTTGAAGAGCCGTGAGAAAGCCTGTGTGCCTCCCTGGAAAATGAGGGTGGGGTGATGATAGGCTGTTGTGAGGGTTAAATGGATGTGCAAAGGATTCAGAGCAGCACTGGGCACAGGACATGCACTTAATAGCAGTTACTGTTGTCATTCCATGAGCAGGAATTGTGATGGGGGGTAGGTCGATAGGAGGAGGGTGTTCTGGATAGTAACACATGGGGGCTAGGGAAGGAGCCAGCCCCTCGATGCTGAGGAGGTAGGAGATGACGGGCCTAGAGAGGAGGTCTCTTGTGCTTTAGTTGGTGGCAGGTGTGGCTGGAGGAGGTGGGGTTGCTGATGGAGACTGTGGGGTGATGTAGTGGGTGATGGATGGGTGGGGTGCACAGAGCATGGAGGGGTGGGTCTGTCTGTCTTCCCTCCAGCCTCTCAGAATCACAGGCCACAGGCTGAGTGAGTGCCAGGAACCGGCAGGCTGGTAACAGACCTGACTGTGGATGATGTACCCTTTTCAGATCCACCCCCTCCCCAAGGCGAGGACTTCCCAACAGCCCCTGCCACAGGGACACAGCAGGTGGGCCGTGTAGGCGAGGGCTTCATGCATGGCATTCACATGCTTGTGAGGCTCACTCCCTCTGAGTCAGTGGATAACACAGACGCAGTACCTGCAGCTTACACAAAACCAAACTGGCATTTTCATCCTCCCTCCTGAGGAGAGGCACTGGAGGTGCCCATCTTCTATGAAGGAGCCACCGATTTTCACTACGTTTCTTTTTCTGCCACTTTCTGCAATAATTGTGCCCGGGACCTCATATGTGATCCTTGTCTTCAGTCGGTTCCAGCTGCTATACGCCAGCTCTCTGGGGGATCGGGCCTAAACTGGCAGTCAGACATCCCTCTGGCAGCCCGGGAGCCCTCGGAGGATGTCCACTTGCCTAAGCTGCAGTGGGACATCCTTAGTGCTGCTGAGGAGGCGGGAGAGGCTCCCGCCACCACCGCTGTGCTGGCAGCCATCAGCCTGGCTTGTGGCTGAGCAGAGCTCCCCCTGTGGGAGTGCACTGACCACCAGGGAGCAGCTCCTGCATTGAGCGTCTGCCCCCTGGTGGTCAGTGTGTGTCATAGTGACCAGTCATTCCCAGTCATTCTGCTGTTAGGGTCAATTTGCATATTACCCTTTTATTATATAGGATTAGTATAGGACAAAATAATGCAACAAGAGACCAGTGTCTCAACCTTAAAATAGGGACTTGAAACTCTCAATCCTGACTACGGTGAGCAAGAGGGAAATCGAGTAGATGGTTTGAAGCCCATCTTAAAATATGAAACTGGGCCTGGAGGAACAAGTCAAGGAAAACCTGCTGTGGACGATATGTTGCAGAAAAACTGATATTAAACCTGGTGTGAGCAGAAAAAGTTTGATGATTGGCTCAGAGGAAAGCGTGCTTCTGCTGTTGCCTCCAAAGAGGCCTCTTGGGCCCTATGTAAATCTCCCCCAGTTTTTCCGGTGAACAACAGCAGTGCTAAAATAGTGTCTAAAATAAGTTATGCAAGTAACATTAAGGAAAACCTCAACAAAACTGTACAGAACTCTTCTGTGTCACCACCTTCATCTTCATCCTCTTCGTCATCTACTAGGAAAACTCAGACCCTGTCTTCAAGTTGGTTATCCCAGGTCCCTGTGTCAGCGCTGAAATCTGTTACTTCAGCCAGTTTTTCTAATAGCTCTGCTTTAGCAGGGACTGATGAGGCGTGTATTCTCCAGGGCTTCAGCCACGGCTAACTACTGTTGCTAATATGCTAACACCCATCTCTCCGGGGACTGATTCGGTTTCTCAAGACACGAGTCTAATTTCAGCAGCTGTTGAACAAATTAAGTCTGGCCTTTTTACTTCCTCTTCAAATATGCAAACTGTGCTATTGAGCACAGCACACGTGGGCCTACCCTCTCAGACAGACCAGCGTAACCTGAGGGATAGCTTCCAGAATCAGTGGGGTTTATCACTTATACATGAGCCCAGTGCCGGCCCTGAGACTATTACTGGGAAGTCATCAGATCATAAGGGATAGAGGTCAGATTTCAAGGGGAATGTCCTCCACTTTGGTTTCACAGGGTGCTGAAATAATCCCCTCAGGAACTGAGCATCCTGAGTTTCCCAAGGCTTCTGAGCTGGAAAAGTGGACTAGTCCTAAAGTCTGGGTAGCATTCTAAAATCTGGGGCCACTAGTGAGTGTGGAGCCTAATCCTTGGAACCCAGTCATATAGATGAGTATGGAAAACAGAGTTTATTCTTGTATTATCATTTATTGAAATATTCTCCATACCGACAACTATAAACCTACTTCTGCCTCACCCTGTATGTATGCATGTGTATGTGCATGTGTATGTGTATGTATATGCACACTGCTGCTTTTCTCCCATTTCCTGCTCTACTCCAGAAAAGTAGGAAGTCTATGGACTACCATAGACACTGATTGGGCTGGTTTAGGTCATGTGCTAACCCCTAAACCAATCAGTTTTTTCAGGGAGCTACAGGGTTCCGATTGGCAGGCTGAGCCTCACAATAAGCCTGGGAGTGGACGGTGGGGTCATGTGTGGGAGGGAAGAGGTGTGGGCGAGTGGGCCCCTAGCACAGTCTCCATCCCTCTGCACCCATTTAGCACTTAGCATGAAGAGAAATGGGGTGCTCTCACTGCCCACCAACACTGCTTCGGGGCTGCGTGGAGGGTGACTGCCCTACCTTCCCTTCTGACTCACTGTGGGTTTACAGAGTTGGGGGTCTGCTGCGTGAGTTTGGGTTGGGACCTTGCCTGGCAAGAGCCTTCCTTGGTGCCATGGACTGTGTTGATGAAAAAGACAGGGCCCTGCATTTTTCCACTGTCTTACTTATGAAATCTCTATTTTGGAGGTGAATGTTTTAAGAAGTCTCAGGGATATGATGATCTAGGCTTTGGATGCTTACAGTCTTTGAGAATCCATGCCCTACATGGACACAAGGACAGTCATTTTACCTCAGCAGTGATAATGAATCTTTGTCAATACCTGTCTACAAAGTTAAAAACATTATTTTCTAAAAACAACCTCACCATGCAATAACTATTTGATTGTCTGCTATCCTCTAGGCACCGGCTGTGCGTGTATACAGTACTTGCAGAATTATTCCACTCCACATTTTCTGAGTTTTGGGCCTCCTTCATCTCTGATGGCCTTCTCTTCTCTGTGCCACAGGGAACTGTTGGAGACCACGTGCCGCCTGGCCAACACATTGAAGAGGCATGGAGTTCGTCGCGGGGACCGTGTGGCCATCTACATGCCTGTGTCCCCACAGGTTGTGGCTGCAATGCTTGCCTGTGCCAGGATTGGGGCTGTCCACAATGTCGTCTTTGCTGGCTTCAGCGCACAGTCCTTGGCTGGGAGGATCAATGATGGTAAGCATGTGGCAGGCGGAGGGAGCTAAGGAGGAGCCCAGAGCCCCCTGGTCCTTGTTCCTTGGACTTAGAGACAGACATTAATAAAAGTCACACAACTGACAGACACTACCACTCAATGAGCATTTGTTCTATGAGCTGAGATCCAAGTGTGATGGATTTAACCAGGTGAGGAAGGGAGGGAAGATTCTAGGTGGAGGGAACAGCATAGGTACCAGCTGAGTGGTGAGAGGAGTACGGTGTGCCCGAGGACCTGGAGTAGGCTGGTGCCACTCCAGAGGAGAACTGACGAGGCTGGGGATGTACAGGTGAGGTCTCAGAGGTCAATAGCTGGAAGCCTTCCAATGTGAAGTATGATGAGGGACCATCTCTGGAGGCCTAGAGTCAGGTATGGAAGCTTGTGATGTATCTTTAAGGCTTTAGTCTGCAGATGGGTCAGAATTTCCAGAACAATAGCATCTCCTTCCTTTTTTTTAATGTCAGAGTCCAGTGTTTGCATGGTGCCCCATGTCCATGCAGTCTGAACCCTGCTCCAGTGAGATTCTAGAGAGAGTCCTTGAGCTGGCTCCCCAAGGACGGTGCCAAGTTCTGAGGGCCATTGGAGTTCTGACATTTTCATAACCATTTTAGGATCAACATTTTCATTTCTGCCTTCTCTACGTCACCCAGACTTCACTGCACATGCGCCCATCTTCCCCTTTGTTGGACCCCTTCCCCCCGTAATCTGCAGGGAATGGACTGGTGAGCATGTGGACTGGGGAGTGTAAAGTTGCAGCTCCCTAGTGAAGATGACCATGCTTACAATGTATGGCTCCATGTTGCTTTCTTTCTATTTTAATTTTAGCTAGCTAATTACGACAATAACACCCTGACACCTTGATTTTGGCCTTGAGACTCTTAGGACAGAACCCTGTGGAGCTCACCTGGACTGTAGAACTGTGAGCTAAAAAATTAGTGTTTGTGCCACAAAATTTATAGTAATTGGCTATGGGAACCATAGAACATTAATACAGATGCTGATACCTGCTCAAAACCCAGGAAGGTAAATTGAATCCTCTCAAAGCGTCAGGCTGATCCTGCCTGAGCCCCAGTGCTGTGCACTCACCCTGTACCTGCTGCCCAGCTATGGGGAACCACAAGGCGATATGTGCTCCCCACGCACCTCCTAGGGACCAAACCTGTGCACACAGGCTCCTGCCCTGGACAACTAACTACCCAAGTAGAGGCTTTGGACAAATGAGGTCCAGGAGTGAGGCATGGGCCGGGGAAGGCTGGGGAGGAGCTAAAACCACATTACAGGATTGTTTAGCATGTTGGATGGGGCAGGCCCATGTTTTCTCTTGAGGGGAATGAGGGAGCGCTTATTTGAGAAGGAGCCATTTGAACCTTCTGGGTCATCTCCCTTCTTTTCCTGAAGGGAGCTCACCTGGACCAGTCCCAGTTTTGGGGGATGTAGGCCCGGAGAGTCTCTGACAGGTTCTATCCAACAGAATTTGTTTATACAAGGTGATTGATTGTGAAGGTCCGAGGAGGAGCGATGAGTCAGGATCTCTGATCCCCGTATAGACCCTGCTGAGTCATCCAGCTGCAAAGGCCTGTGTAGAGAATTCTCAGGTAGCCCTCACGGCTATGTCATTTCTAGGGCTCTTGGGAGGAAGGAAGAATGTGGATATATTGCTTGAAATTGCTTTTCAGACTGAAAAGCTGAGGGAGATTGGTGCCTTAGTCAGGGCTCCCCTGGAAGCAGACCCTGAGATGAGAGTTCAAGTTCATTTGGGAAGTGGTCCCGTGAAGTACTACAGGGCAGTGGGAGTGAGGCTTGGAAGAGGAATCAAATAAGAGCAACTTTCACAGTGGATGCCCTGAGCTCAGTCCCACAAGGAAACCTTGTAATTTGATGCAACCACATGTGTCAGGATAACCCCTCTACCCAGGGACGAGGGAGTTGGGTATTTATATTCCGGTTTTTGAGAGTCACTTGTTGAGGGCTGCTGGAGTCGGGGTTCTGCCTGTGGCTCCCAAAGAAGCACTTGGTGCAGAGTGACTAAAAGGTTAAAGTGATGTGCCTATAGGGGCCCCGCCAGCCTATACTGGATGGTTGTTCCAGGTTCTTCCTTGGGGAAGTAAGAACCCACTGTAACTTGATTCCTCCAGGCCCTCCAAGTTAAGGGTGCAGTGTGAGGTTCATTTCTTTGTGGTCCTGAGGCCTGGTTTTATTTGCACATGATTCCCTGCTCTGCCCCCTCTCCCCCTCCAGGTTAACAGTGGAAGCTCTGGTTAGTCTGGCATTGCCACTGACCTGGCTGGGTCATTGAAGGGCATTAGAAAGCCTGGAGGACCTTCCCTGAAGGTGAGGGCAGGGGCCAGCAACTCCTGGCATTCACCTGGGGTGTGGTCTCTGAGATAGTGCACAGGACATATTGGGGCTCGCTCTCTGGCTGCCCAGCTTTCTTGGTCTCTGCTCCTGGTGGCTGTGGCTGGGGGTGATGTGACGGCCTCTCGTCTAGGAAAGCTGCCGGGCAGGTGGAAGGACGGGTGGAAGGCTGGGAGAGTTCAGCTTCAAAGTTACTTGTCTCCACTGACTTCCTGCTCCTCCTCAGAGCTGGGAAAAGGCCCGGAGCTTCTATATTCTGCACAAAGATTGCAGAGAAGGCACACCCTTCACTGTGTTGCTGACTCATTTACTCAATATTGGACTTTATCACCCTCCTGTGCCTGGAATGTGTGTCTGCCGGTCTGGGCTGTGAGGGTCAAAAGTGGAGAGGAAACTGATCAGAAATGTCTGTTGTCTCTGTCAGCAAAGTGCAAGGTGGTTATCACCATCAACCAAGGACTGAGGGGAGGACGCGTGTTGGAGCTGAAGAAGATAGTGGATGAAGCCGTGAAGCACTGCCCAACGGTCCAGCATGTCCTGGTGGCTCACAGGACGGAAAACAAGGTCCCCATGGGGAAGCTGGATGTCCCCCTGGAGGAGGTGGGTCCGCCTCGCTTTGTACAGTTCGATGAGGAGAGGTTATTGTTGGGTTATCTGGGTCTGAGTCTTGTCAGATTGTAGTTTTGAATCTGGGTCCCCCTGAGATGTTCCGGGCGGTATTTGATGGGCTTACAGCTGGTTGGGAAGATGGCACTCCAACACTACAAACAGTGAAACAGTTGATGTAACAGAAATGATTGGATTCATCCTTTTATTTTGCGTCTTCTCTGTATCTGGGATGGAACTAGGTTAGGGAAGATGAGCTCGGATCCCGTCCTCGGAGTCTCACAGCAGCGGGGAGAGGTGTTCCCAGGGGCGCTGGATGGAGGGAGAGGCTCACTGCCCTGGGCGGGGCTGTTTTGTCTCCCCCTCACAGGCCATGGCCAAGGAGGACACTGTGTGTGCCCCAGAGAGCATGGGCAGCGAGGACATGCTCTTCCTGCTGTACACCTCCGGGAGCACCGGGAAGCCCAAGGGGCTCGTGCACACCCAGGCGGGCTACCTGCTGTTTGCCGCCCTGACGCACAAGGTACGGCCTTGGTGGTGGGCAGAGCATGGGTGGTGCTCACCTCCCTGGTGGGATAGGGCAGGGGGCCAGGTGGGGCTGGGTGTAGGGCTCGAACTCCTCCTGCTGTAAAGCCGTGCCCGGGGGTGTGGGGGGCTCACGTGTTCCCGCAGTGAGTGTGCTAATGAGCAGGGCTGCTGCGAGTCGAGGCACTGGCCCAGTGGAGTGGGTTGGAAGGGGGGCCATGCTCTTGTTTTTGCTGAAAGAGTCCAGGCCCCAAACCTGGACTCACTGCTGGTGTTTAGCCCTTTGCACCTGTGCCTGTGTCGCCCATTGGCTCGAACGCCTGCAGGAATCGGGCCCTCGCCGGCTCTGACGTGCTCGCTGGTGGGGCCACATTCTGATGCTCAGGCCCAAGACACTTTGGCCTGCCTGGGCCCCTTCCTCTATTAAATAAATGTCCAATATATAATATATACTATTATATTTTGAAACTTCTTTTAAACTTAAAAGATCATATTTTTCTCCTGATTTTAAGAGAAAATAAAACATTTCCATGAGCCCCTAAAACTATCGTGACCTCTAGACCCTGCCCATTGGGACCATATTTTAAAAGTAAAAAATTCACTTTGGTAAAGAAACTTAAATTGAGGACAGTATGTGGAAATTATAATATTACAGTAAGCCATCTTGAGGGATTATAAAGCAAACTCTATGACATGTTTTGTTATTCGAATCAATCAGTTTAGAAATCAGTACTCATGTTAATGTTGGTGGAGGATTGCAGTTTGACATGGCATCCTTGGTTGCCTTGGGAAGCGGCTGACATTTCCAGGTGGAATTAGATTTCGATATACCATCTGTGGACCAGACTCTCTCTGTCGCAGAACCAAAACTCAGCTCCAGCAGGTGCCAGCAGCAAAGGGAAGTGTCTGGCCAGGCGACTAGAAAGCCCAGGCCCATCCAGTCAGGGCTTGGACACTGTCCTGGGTCGTGGTATCTTCCCTGCCTCACCCCTCTTCTAGGTCCATGAGGTTCCCAAACAGGCTATCAACTTGGCTTCCCCACGGGCCAGAGGGAGCCTCCACGATCCCAGTCATTGTGGTCAGGGTGGGGGTGGGGATGGGGGTGAAAGATGCTGATTGGCCAGGCGGGGTCATGTGGGAGGTGAACTTACTGAATGAGAGTGGATGAGGAGCAGGTGCTGGGCCGCATGCACACAGCCTCCGCGTGGCAACGTCCAGGTCCCACTGGTGGCCACTCACACCAACCGTAAGGATACGAAAGTGAGGCGGAAAGACAGATGTGGGACAGAACCAGGCTGAGCATACAGTGTGTTACACTTAATACAAACACTTATTAAAATAGTGGCCTCTGGCTGCTGGGTGACCTTGAGCATGTCACAGAACCTTTCTAGACCTTCATGTGCTCATCTGAAAAACCCCACCCTTTCTCAGTTCTTGGTAGGGAAGTTATATCATGTAAGCAGAAATACTTTGGAAAATATACATAAACACTGAGACAAAATACCAAGAAAGTCACAGAATGAATCAAATTGTTTCCATCAATTTATTAAAAAAAATTAATATTAGGGAAGCTAAGGTGAGAGATTCATCATTTTTATTTTTATTTTTTTTGCATTTTAAGGTGTTTTGCATTTCCAGGAAACTACCTACATGAACAAAAGAAGTGTGGGGATATAGGGACAAGCACCATCTTTTGAATTTTTTTTCAATACAATGAGATTTTGGGGAGAAGTATTAGTAATAGAACCTTTGAGCTGTCTGTAGATAAGAGTGTGTGTGTATGTGTGTGTGTATGTGTGTGTGTGTGTGAGCTCATGTGTCTATGTATGTGTGCACCTGTGTTTGTGTGCACATGCAGAGGATATTAGGGCAGTTGGTTTCTTCAGGGAAAAGGACATTTGACTCTGAAGGGATGATGTGAATGTGAACTGACTTGGGGAATGTAAAGTCTTAGAAGCTGATGATGCTTGAGGCATTTCTGGCCTTTTATACTTTAACTAGTAGCCCTGCGCACGAGTCTGTGTGCCAGTAGCTCACTGCTGCTCTCCAGTAGCTCTCCGCCCACTGCCCCGCCCTCCTGTAGCTCCCCCCACCCTCTTCCTCCCCCCCCCCCCATAGCTTGCTGCCCTGCCCCCTCCTGTAGCTCACTGCCCCATCCTCCTGATGATCCGTGATCTGGTTATGCGGTCGGTCATTATGCTTCAAGGCGTAATGACCGTTTGCATATTATATCTTTATTATATAGGGGTTTTTTTTTTGCAGTTTTTAAGGGTTTCAAAAAATTGTGGCATAACTTGCCTTGGCCAGGTAGCTCAGTTGGTTATACTGTCATCCTGATACACCAAGGTTGTGGGTTTGATTTCCAGTCAAGGCATATACAAGAATCCATCAATAAATGCATAAATAAGTGGAACAACAAATCAATGTTTCTCTCCCCCG